TCCCTGCAGGGAGGTTTGTGTCTGGGCTCACACTCACCTCCCCTCACTGTGTCTCTCGCACAGTAATACACGGCCGTGTCCGCGGCGGTCACAGAGCTCAGCTTCAGGGAGAACTGGTTCTTGGACGTGTCTTTTGAAATGGTGACTCGACTCTTGAGGGAGGGGTTGTAGTTGGTGCTACTACCACTACCATAGATACCCCCAATCCATTCCAGCCCCTTCCCTGGGGCCTGGCGGATCCAGCTCCAGTAGTAACTATCGCTGATGGAGCCACCAGAGACAGCGCAGGTGAGGGACAGGGTCTCCGAAGGCTTCACCACTCCTGGGCCCGACTCCTGCAGCTGCACCTGGGACAGGACCCCTGTGAACAGAGAGACCCACAGTGAGCCCTGGGATCAGAGACAGCCTCCAATATCGTCATATCTGCATCCCTGAGACACTCACATCTGGGAGCTGCCACCAGGAGGAGGAAGAACCACAGGTGCTTCATGTTCTTGCACAGGATGTCCGTGACTCTCAGAGAGCATTTCCCATGTGAGCAGGACCCTGAATTTAAGGAAATGTGTGGTGGTTTCCTGTGGGTGCCTAAGTGAGGATTTGCATGTGGGTGGTGCCTTTGTATGGAGAGGTGAAAAGGGATGAGGGAGGCCCCAGACTTTTGGGTTCACCCTTGGAGGAGGATGTTGGCTGTGCCCTCTGAGAACTCAGTTCTCTTCCTGGGGCCTCCCCTCACCAAGCCCAGAGTCCTCTTCTTCCAGGTAGGAAACGTGCTGAAGGAGCTGGTCTGGGAGATGAGTGTGATCACGGATCAGGGACAGATTTTGGAATAGGGTCAACTGTTCTACCCTTAAACATTCATATAAAACCAACCACACACCCAGGTCATCTAAATTGTCATTTACCTCTTCAGACACATTGATACAACAGCTGAGCGTAATAAGCACAGTGAATTGAGACAAATCTGGATCCATGCAATGTGTACTGTAGTTCAGAACATCCATCATGGTTAGAGGGACGCTACCTGTTCCAGGAAGTGCGTTATTTTTAAATAGCACCTGATAACTGCCCTTCTGAGAACTTTTGAAATTTGAGATTATATGTGAGATCTCAGGAGAAGGTAGTGGGATATATTTCCATCCTTCTCAATGTGTGACCCTGAGAATGTGCCCTGACCTCTAAACACTTCTGTGTGAAAAGATGTACACTGGGGATAGCAGTGACAACTTCAGTTAAAAACGCTATAGTACATCAGCACTGAAGAATAGTCTCATCACCAAGATTAGTGAAATTACCTTTCCTAGGAACCAGAGAGCAGCTCTGTAAGCCCTTCCCTCTGACAGAACAAGGAACTCTGGTTCTTCCCTGACAGGTCACACCTGCGAAACATGGCTGGACAATGACACTCAAGTCCAGAATTCATACCCACACATTTACCAATTCAGATCCATCTGTTTCTGAAAGACTTTCTCTTCCGCTGAATTGCATGAACATACCCTACAGTGTGCATTATTGCAACTTGGGCATTTCATATTAGTTTAGTGAATTATATAATAAAAACTACTCCATGGATTTGTGGTAACAGGAGAGTCATCAGAAGTGGGGTGTGTTGTATAATCCGGCTAAACCTGGGCTCTCTTTCTAGGAGCTGAACAAGTGGGCTGACCTTCTGTGAGAAGACAGAGGGAAAGAGACAGACAGACTCAATATCCAGAGCAAAGTGAGCTCCTTGCCTACCTACCAGGTGGTCTCTGGGCCATTTGTTTGAACAGAAATACCTTCCTCACCCTCAGGAGAATTATGAACATTGAGGGAAATTGAGATTTTTTTTATTTACAGGGAATAAATTCATAGGCTTGTAGACATCTACATGGGTGTGTACAGGGATGCTAGGATATGCTCATACACAGAAGAGCAACAATTATATTTTGTGGAAAGAAAACCAAAGAACTTCTGAATTTGTAGGTATTTTTTGCCACATATGTGTCAGGTGGCTGGATAATGTTATAATGCTAGAGGAAAAACTTCCCAACATTGTCATGGAGACAAAATGCAAAAGAGTAAAGATTCAAGTGAGATTCCCTTGAAAATCACCAGTAATAAACAGGCCAAAAGAAATCAACCATTATGGAAAGAGTGGTCATTAAATGAAACAGTAAATTCCATGTTGAGTTGAGAAGTAAGTTCTGTCTGACAGCTCATTTTCACCTCTGCAAATACGTCAGAGCATAGACTAGGAGCAGAGAGTGAACTTAGGGCAAACAGGGGCCAGATGTTTGAGGATGACAGAGAGCGAGCCGGAGTCATTGTGAGCCATTCAGAAAAGCAGACTGTTCCAGGGTGTACGGAGTCCTCCTGAGTTAAGAGGTGCTGAATATACACCAGGTTCACTGTCCTCATTGTGTTTTATCCTCCAGACTCTCTTGGATGTCCAGATTTGAACACGTGGAGTGTTGATGGAACTCAACATAACTAGGAACTTTTCAATGAAGATGTAGGTAACAATGTGGGTATAATTAAATTCGGTTTATGAAAATAATATCTGAAATGTCAGTCAGTATCTATTAATTTATCTTTCCTTTGTATTTTACAGACAAGACTTGTTCTGTTGCCCAGGCTGGAGTGCAGAGTCACCTATTAATTTTATAGCATGAAAGCGATCAGTCCAATTTATGTAGTCATGTTATCTCCATCAAGGATTTAGGTCCATGTGGTCTGCGACATAGCTCTAGTCACAGAGGGAAGAGAGTGGTTCATTGGGTTGATGCTGCTTCTTCAGAGGGGAATTTAAACAATCGACTCCTCATCTCACCATGTCTATTTTTATAACTGTGCATGACCCTTGGGAATGCACTCATGATTTCTTACATAATGGGAGTTGACTGTGCTGTGAAGGTAACAGGAAGATGTGTAAATTTAAAGCCTGGTTCCAAAGCCTGTTGAATTTAAAATGCCTGGAGCCCATCACATTCTGGCATCTTGATTAATTAGTTGTGAATGTATTTTCAGTTGGTTAGTTCAGGTTCCCATAATTCACTTTCTGCTAAAATATCACATACAATAATCTTGAGATATTAAAATAAAAAATAACTAATTTGAAAATGAACCCAACTTCCAGGAGAGATGAAACTTCCTTTGTGGTGAAGGGTGTGAAGGGTGGAAATATGGTTGAACATTGAGGTTGTCTTCACAATTGTTTAATTTTAATTAGGGGAACTTCTATACATCCCTCATATTTATTAGAAACTCCCATTGAGAACCTGCAATTAACGTAATTATTTGATGGATCACACAACAACGATGTTGACGGTTATTAAGTAGGAATTGCTATTACAACGCTAACCTTGCTTTACAGCACATTTTTCTACCTGATGTGAAATTAGTCCAGGCGCACTGATGAGAGCTTGTCAGTTAATCAAAGGCCAGGAAATGGGTACACGTGTTTCTGGAGCAGGGCATGGCTTTGGGATGCTTTGCAAACAAAGTGGCTTCTCACGTCTTCTGGAAAACCCATCGAAATGGGCAAGTTAACAATCTCTTAGGAGCACCCCTCTATCCCATACTCTTGGCTGATATAAAAGTGGAACTCAATGCAAAATGAGATAATATGGAAGTTAAGAAAACTGCTGCACCACTGCCTCAGCTCAGCACAGCTGCCTCCTTCCTTAGGGTTTCTGAAACTCTCGGGACGTGAGTTTCCACACTATGTAATTCGCACAGTAATACTCGGCCGTGTCCTCAGCCTTTAGGCTGCTGATCTGAAGATACGCCGTGCTGACAGAGGTGTCCATGGAGAAGACAAACCGTCCTGTGAAGCCCTGGGCATACGTTGGGTTCCCAGTGTAGGTGATGATCCATCCCATCCACTCAAGGCCCTGTCCAGGGGTCTATCATACCCAATACATTCCATAGGTGGTGGAGGTATAACCAGAAGCCTTATAGGAAACCTTCACTGTGGCCCCAGGTGGCTTCACCTCAGGCCCAGACTGCACCAGCTGCACCAGGAGTGGGCACCTGTGGAGAGGAGACATGAGTGGGTGAAGTCTCACTTGACTGGCCTGGTTTCCTCCTCAACCCTGGGACTGGGGAGTCCCTTACCTGTTGCTGCTGCCACCAAGAAGAGGATCCTCCAGGTCCAGTCCATGGTGAGGAGCTGTGCACTAGGGGATTCTCCCGAGGAGGAGTGTGGTTGTTGGGTGATGCTCTCAGGGCACAGAGATACTATATTCATCTCAGTTATTTGCATATTCGTGAAGGATGCTATTTAATAGCCCAATTCCTGACCCAGTGTGAGAAAGAGCAAATACATGCCACATGGACGACACAACTGTAGAAGCTGAGGGTTCAAGCCGTAATCCTGTTAGAGGCCATGCGTCCCCTACACATCCCTGAACTCTGTGTCGACAGAGCTTCCCCCACGGGTGAACAAGCTCCCCCAGGACACGCACCTCACTTTGAACCCACAGTTGAATATCTCAGGGCAACTTGAACCATTTGTAGACCTTACTGTGTGAACGAGTTATTTGGGAATGTGTGTTGCTCCAAAACTTGCACTTATTTATAAAAAAGGATCTCTTCCTGACCTCCAGCTGCTTACTGCTAAGATATCCAGCAGAGTTTGAAATCCCCATTGTAAAAGTGGTTCTCATCACAACATCCGGTTTGATAAATGCTCACAATTGAATAGATATTTATACAAACTTCAGCAGTCTGTGCGAAATACTTATTTTAGATATTTTTAAAGGAAGTCCCAGGCCCTGGGAAGAACCTCTCCCCAGTCTCCTGTGCACCTGCTCTGGGTGTATCCGGAGCGCCCCCTGCAGCCCAGCCCCCACCACGCAGGGAGGTTTCTATCTGAGCTGACAGAGTATATTCCTACCAGTGTATCCAACTCGGTATAAAGTGGTTGTGCCCTGGCTCAGAATTCTCCTTTAGGGACACCACATGGTTCTCTCACTATCTTTTGAAATAGTGAATTGCCCTTAGGAAACCCAGTGAACTCTACAAAGAGACTCCAGGAAAAGATCCCATGCATCACCAGGGAGCCCTTTCCTGGAGCTCAAGAGGCAATGAATCATTGGACACATGGTGAACCCAAAAACTCTTCAGAGGTTTGGGGAGACTCTTATTTCCTTTAGGGTCCTGCAGTTGATTATTGCACCTGAGAATACCTGCAGGTGCAGGTGCATGTGGATAGAAGCCCACTCCAACTCTATTCAAGACACACACACACACACACACACAGTGTGGCTAATCTTTACATTTTACATTAATGGATCCCATGTTTGCCCTTTTTTTCTGGTATCCATCTCACAGAAAACACTTCCTACACTCTCACTAAGGCTGAGTATGTGTCTACTTTCTGCAAACAGAAGAAAACAGAATACAAGTGGACAGCTGGGAAGTGCATGCACATTGGATTCACCTGGTCTCACTTGGGAACCCTGCAGATGCACCATGAGAAGTAAATTTGAGGCCAATGAGGGTGAAATCATTTTATTGGTGCTGAAGTTGCTGTTGTCAGAAGCTTCAAATTGCTCTATTTTCCTTAACCTTTTTTCTCCTATATTCCTCCTCAGACAGAGTTC